CCCCGCAGCATTCTTGTCTCCCTAACACTAAGCTTGCCTTCTTCATTTCGCGTACTGGCAACATTTGCTGCCGTACAGCACTGTAAGACGGATCATTATACATCAGTGTCATCACTACGGTATATTTGGGATCTTAGTTGCCTTGGCATTCCTTTGTCGCATAGAACTCCTGTGGGTTCTCCATTTTATCCATGATGCAGTTGTCCTGGAAGATACTTCATCTTGAAGTCCTTTGCCAGAGATGCGACTTCCTAGGTACTTGAATGTACGTTTGTTGACCTCCTACTTCCATATATTCTGTCTTCTTTGTGTTGAGCATCAAGCCGTACGACTGTAATTGTTCTTTCATCTCTGTATCTTCTTCAAGTTTTTCTCTGTTTTCTGCCATCGACACCACATTCTGCATAGAGGACCGCCCGTGGAGGCTGTCGCTTGAGACCTTCCGTCACTGCGTCCTTGACTGCGATGAAGAGCAGAGGAGAGAGCACCGATCCCTGATGTCCGGTCTTTATGCGGAATGGTTTTGACTGCCTGCCGCTATCTGCACTTGGCTCGTGCTCCGTGATGGTTCATTTTTCTCCACTGAATGTATACTTCTGGAACCATGTGTTTCGCAGTGCCCACCATATGACATCATGGGGTACCTTGTCGAAAGCTTCCTCCATATCCAGGAAAGCCACATGGAGCTCTTCGCTTTTCTCTATACTTCTCTATCACTATCCGTACACTATGAATGGCGTCAGCAGTACCGGTACCTTTCACAATGCCGCACTGATTAAATGGCAACTCTATGATCGCCCGAAGTCGTGTTTCGAGTACTCTTTCGAAGATCTCTAGAGTGTGGCTCATCAGCCGGCTGGCCGATATGCTGAACAGTCTGCAATATCACCTTTATTTTTTTTATATCGGAATCGTTGTGCTCTTTAATCAGTCGTGGGGCATGCTCTTAGCTTTGATGACCTGATTGAAGAGGCCTGCAAGCCAAGAGGCATCGAGCCGTCCTCTTTCCAGAATTCGCTTGGTATCTGGACCGGAAGCCTTGCCGTTCTTTGTTTTTGTTATAGCAAGCCATACTTCCTCAGATTCTATGAGTGGCACTGGTCCGTTCACGGGGTCAGCTGGTGGGATGGCTTTGTCAGGGCTGGTTGTGGATTCTTCGAAGTACGTTCGCCATCTCTCAGTTATTTCGTGGTCTTCTTAACGTCCCTCTCGCTATTCGGTATATATCTCGCTCTCCCTCACGAGATTCCAATTTCCCATATAGCTCTTCTATGTATGTTTTCTTCGCTTTCTTGACACATCTGCAGCGTGTTTCATTTATAGGTACAACTGTCGAACTTTCCAATTTTGACTTATGCCATTGCTTGTATGCCTGACTCTTTCCCTTTATCACCGTTTGAACCTCATCGTTCCTCCACCAAGTTTCCTTACCGATCTTCTTCCCGACTTCGTATGACCCAGTAAATTACTTGCTACCCGACGTACTTTACGCTTCAAGATTGGCCATGACTGTTCTGGTTTCTCACATAAGGCTGGTAGAGTACTTACCAGAGCCTTCGGTCAGAGAGTCCCTTTCCATTTCCACCACTTGATTCGTGCTTTGTTGTTAATCATGGTTTTCTTTGTCGTTTGACCGGAATTAGGTCTAGAAGTAGTGGCTTATGCTGAGGTATGCAGCTTTCACCTGGGATAGCTTTGCATCTCTATGTTTTTTTGGTTATTGTAACACACTACCCAGTTGTCAATTTGTGTTAGACGTCTCCACTTGAATACGTAATAAGGTGTTCATGATTTTTGATGTAGTACGTGTTGACTAATGCTAGATTGTATGCTATGGCAAATCTAGAAGGCGTTCGCCTTCTTCATTGCATGTGCCGTATCCGTGGTTCCCGTGACACTTCCCCGCACCATTTCTT